ACCCTAATAGGCACAATAAATTTTTGAATTTTCAAAATTGTATTGTAATTGACACAAAATTATATAACTTTAATCTCGGTTTTTAAACTATATACGCTGTCATGATGAAAATTATGCAAAAATATTATTGAAAATTAACTAAATTCAATACGTATAGCCATTAATTTTTTTACAAGAAAAAACAAACGTTAAAGGAAAATACTTAACTATTTAACTAGAATATCGTGGTGTAAAGGAAATTTCGCACGCCTATGGTGCTAAAAAGTTTATTTAAAAGAAGGATCTACTGTTATCGATCGATATATGGACTAAGTATATAACTTTACGGACATTAGTAAATTCATTGTTCTTAAAAAGCTTATAAATATGACGAGTCACGCCTGAGCTGAGCCATCAACGATCATGGTTATGGTTCGTTAGATTTATACCGTGCTCTGAGTATAGCACAACCCTCACGAAGAAGATTCGAAAGATAATCCAAAGATGCTCGTTGCTTTTCATTTTCTGTGGGTATTTAGCCGTGCCAGAGCCAAGCCTAAACTCTTTAAGTTCGAGGTATATATCGCCGAGGCGCGTGGTTAACTTAGAGCAGCGTATAAATTTGACGACTGGGCTCGTTATTGGCTCTTCGTTGGCTCATTGTTGGCTCAGCCATATTTATACGCCATATGTATACATTATATTTGTACGCACCTTCATAATAAATCTGGAATTTTTAATATTTACGAGTGACAACACATTAATTTCCTACAAAATTTGTCAGTTTGTATACCAGAAAATGGCAAAAATAATAAAACTTAAAAAGAATAAAAAAAACATTAATAGATTGTATTTTATTCAAAGTTTATCATAGTTAAACATGATTATTCACTTAGGCAGTTCGTGTTAATTTTCGAAGTTCAAGTACTCACGCCCATAATCATTCGCTTTAGTCAAATATTTAGTCACTGTAATTGACCAAAAGTTAAACTTTAACTTGCACACTAAAACTTCTACTAGACTATCGCCATTACTCGTTAGTAATTGTGAGAATCCAGCAAAACACGACGTTAAAGTTACCAAAGACATCGTCGGAGTACACCACAATCTGTCTAATTTACAGTTATATTCCCGAACCGCACTATCATCCAAAATTAAATCTGAAATCTTCATTAAAATAATTCCATCAACACGAATATTATAATCAAAAAAGCCAGTACATTAAATTTATTATTGTTGTAATATTTTTTACAATTCTTGTTTTTAACATAATAAAAAGGACAATCAAAATAATAGACAAATAAAATAGTAAAGCCAATAAAATGGATAATCAAATAAAATAGTCAATCCAATAAAATAGACGATACAATCAAATAGACAACAAATATGAAATAGACGTAGGCATCATATAAAACACAATACATACAGGAGATTAGAATACGGTTTAAAAAAGAACGAAAAATCTGTTTTAAAAATATCCGCTAATTATAATGATATTTTGCTAAACTATATTTTTTACATTATTATTCCACGTGTCAAATACCAGATAACAGAGAAAGCATATAAAATAATGTCAACATTAAAGGTACCATTTCGGAACGCTCGACAGACGACATACGATAGGAGACGCGACGGCAAAGGAGACCAAGAACGGTCTATTCACGTATGAACACATGCAATTATATGAAACACATTTCGCAAGGCGCGACCAGTGCGAGAGACAGAAGTTGGCGACTTATAGATGGGTCTCGGGGTAGCGTTTGCTGCCTGTCTACTGTCTCGCTTAGTCATCGCTTGTATTTCGAGGTGATTAGTCGATATTGCAAAGTTCTATCCTAGGCAGTGTTGCCAGATGAAAATTTTCTGGAACAGTATGGGTGAAAAAAAAAACGTAAATCTGAACAGTAGATTTTAATACAGGGGAAAATAATTATAATTTGCAGTGAAGTTAATAAAAAAAACAAGTATATAAGAAATGAAAAATAATCATTTTTCTATTCAACTAGAAAGTAAAGAATAAAAAAAAATAATAACATTTTTATTATATGTCCAGAAACAAAAAAAAAAACAATAAAAAATAGCAGGTATTTCTTTTAGACCAGTCTCAATCAGATAAGTCAAATACGTGACCTATTAATTCTTTGTTGCATTTAAAATAAAAACATAATGATTATTGTAATGCGAATCATTTCATTATTCAGTCATGCTCTAATCCTCCAAGTCCCTCTCTGTCTTATTTGGCCTTTGAGGCTCAACTTGTCCAATTATCATACGTAATTAAACCCCTTAAGACCAAACATATGTGACGACCATGGCGGAGGAGCTTTCGATGACTATTCGAGAAAGAACGGGATAATTGGTGAAAATTCGCCATACTTTTAAATTTGTATATAAATATTGGTGGAGGATCAAGCGGAAGTCATTAGTAGAATATAAATATATAAATAGTGAATATAAATAGTGAACGATTCAAAGACATTCGAAATCTATATAAATTAAAATAGTAGTGTTATAAAATAAATAAGTGTTTAAATAAATTAAGAATAAATAAACAGTTGTTTAAAATAAACAAACATCACATTATCTTGAGGTTTTTTTATAGAGAAAACCTACAGTAGTGGATGGTTATTACGCTGCTTTTACTTCAGCCAATTTACTAGAAAAAATTTTCTTTGACTATTTGCTAAAGAATGAGGCAAACTTAATAAATTAAGAACAAAATTTGTTAAGTTGGCGAACAGTAGATTTCATGCCTAAAACAGGAGAACAGAGACAAAAAAGTGGATCTACTTTAAAACAGTAAGTCTGGCAACACTGATCGTTCTCTGGAATAGTTGTCTGCGGTTGTCGCATCGCCTGTCTCCTAGCTTCCCAAATGTGTGAAGCGTAACGTAAATGCATCCATCCCCTTTGCCGTCGCTTCTTTTGTAATCTGTCGTGGTACAAGACTTTTTTGCATCAGCCTTTCCCAAACTTGTGACTGCAACGAACCGAGACTTTTCTTGAATGTGCTCGAAAGAACGGGTATTACGAAGTTCAATGTTTGAATTAAATATCTGCAAATATTGGAATGTTTTGGTCCTATCAGCACCATTTTATCAAAAAATAATATTCAACTTAGAGAACATATTAAAAGGGATTTAACTGAACATCTCAAATAGCTTCAGTTTTTCTAATAAATCTACTATATCTGGATCAAACAACTGCATATGTAGGTCTTTTCAAGGATATACATCTTCAAATACTTTTTTAGAAATTGTTTTTCAAGATTAATCTTTGATTAACTTCTGGCTGAGTGTAAAAAATGAATACCTTATTTTGGCGGAAAGAGCCATTGAACTTGTATTACCCTTTTGTACAACATATCTATGTCAGAGAGTATTTTCAACATTTACCTGCAGTGTAGGATCGGATCCAAAGACCGGTTGGCCCTCGTTCAAGCAGTGGACCCTCGTTCAGACAGTGGGCCCTTGTTCAGGCAGTAGGCCCTTAAGGAGAAAATACGTGGCAACCTCGGAACAAGTATCAGTGTGTAAAGAAGACTTTTTTGCTCTTCAATGAATCGTACCATGAAAAAAATAATAGTTAAGCCCTTCATCTTCCTTAACCGGTAGGCCCTGGAAGTCCCAATCCGACACTGCTTACTTGAAAGAGAAGTAGAAAAAGATGTTAAATGCAGAACCCGATTTAACACTCAACAATAAATATTCAAACCCAGAACCAATTTCGTAATCCAAAAGAAACGTGCCATCTATGAGACCTCCATGAAGATAGAAGGAAAAAGAAATTAAATGTTATACTAGAGTTTGAAAATAATTCCTATATCAGCTCACATTATATTGTAACGCCAATCATATAACAGTTCTATAAAGGTTTTGGTTCAGATACATCTAGAAGACAATTACGATAGACAAGTTTAATTTTGCAAAATTGCGATGGAAAAAAAACATTTTTAAAAAATTTCTCAAGTAAATCTTTAGACGTGTCGGTATTGGGGTTCGAAAAATCCACATTGGATACACGAGTATCATACTCAATATCCGGAAACATTGAATGTATGGGTGGAAATAATAGATAATAAGATTAATTATAGGAAAATACTTTTAGAATTAAACCTTACCAGATCCACGTTATTTAAAATTTCTGTAACATTTCTTGCTACTTGAACTGTATCGGTTATTCCCAAACAAAAATGATTTGCGGCTGCAGCAAGATGGTGTGCCCCCAAACTATGATGTCTAAGAGAGAAACTCCTTTTCAGATAGTTGAAGAAGGCCAATCTAGGTCGCCAGGTTTAACTCCTTTTGATTTCTTTTCTTGCGGATATTTAATAAATACTACAGTATACATCTAGATACATCCAGATTACACCTGTAAGTCAAATGACACAATCAGTCATCTTTAAGTCACCCCGGAGTGCCACGGAAAATAATAATATCCATACCTTCCCCGGACAAACTTAGATTTTAAGGTCAAAATTCACTCGTAAGGGGGTGAATTGGGGAGAGAATTATTATTACTATTATTACTAAACACTATCCATGAACTTACCAAACGCATGCAAGTCCAGATGGTGCAAATTCCGGAAGTTATGGATGGTGTATTAAAATAAATCCTTTGTTTTCGTTCTTGTAAAGTTGGCAGTATAAACTTACATTTATTAATTAACGTCTACATGACAAGATAAAGGCATAATATTAAATATGGAATTAAATTCATTTGAAATGTAGTCAATTTCAATTTCATTAAAACCTCACGAATTATAGAATAAGTATCAATAATATGGAAATTATTTTATGACGTTCATGTTAAAGCTCTTGAAATAACAATCTAAATGGCATATTTCTTTTCTATCGTACAACCTTATTGCCTATTTAGCTTTTTCACCAAAATATTATAGTAACAAATTTAAGAGTTGGTATTATCACATACCCCTTACAGGTACTTAATACAAAACCCCTATTAAAACTAATTGCGATTCATTAAAATAATAGGTAATAATTATACTTCATTTGTTACAGGATATGGTTCAGTATCACCTCGCACCACTTGGGGAAAACTAGTCACCATAATCTACGCCCTCATTGGTATTCCTCTGATGCTTCTATATCTCTCCGCTACCGGCGATGTCTTGGCGCGAAGTTTCCGAAGACTATATGGCAAGATGTGCGGAGTTTCAACCAAAAAGCTACAGTGTCCTTGTTCTAATACTGTGAGAGTTCCAGTTACGTTATGTCTGGTGATCGTGCTGGCTTACATCTGTTCCGGAGCTCTATTATTCCATAGGTTGGAGAATTGGTCATTGTTAGAAGGTACGTTTTTTGGTCATTTAATTATTTTGTATATTCATTTTCATTCATTTTCAATCTAACCTATACTTGCATCCTTATATACGGGGTCCCTACTTTTTTATAGGGACAATGTTGCTATTTCTTAAACGGTAACAGATAAAAAGTTAGTAAAATTTGATAAATGTTGCGCAGTTTTGTGCTCATGGTGTCAAGAAACCGTTGATATCTACAGGGAGATTTAAAATATCGCACAAAAAAATTAATAAATTTAAAAAAATGACAATTTTCATTTTTTGTCCGATATTTTCAATCTTTCCCTAGATATTAAAGATTTCTTAGCACCATTTTATTGAGCACATAACTGTTAAACCTTTATCTATTTTAACTAACTTTCTATCTGTTACCATTTAAGAAATAACAATACTGACCCTATGAAATAGTAGGGTCCCTGTATAGTAATGCAGAATATTGTGAGAAAAGAAAGAATTTATTTTTGGTAAGAAAGAAATGCGACAAATAACAATAGCAAAAATATTTAAATCAAATAATAATCATGCCACAAGTCTCAGGTCTGCCAACTTAAAATTATTGAATAAGAAAAATTCAAAATTTATAAAATTAATAACTATTATTTTAACAAAATATCTATGTATAATATTCAATATTATAAGTTTTATAAAAAAATATTTTTTGTATAATTGAATTTCTTATGAAGTTACTAAATTCCAAAGGTTTCTATTGGGTGAACAACTTCTTGGAAAATTGATAGAAACTTTAAAATTCGTTACCATGTATAAATAACAAGACAGATGACAGTTTTTTTGAAAACGAAGTACGCACATTTTGTCCTTGAAAAAGATGAAGAATATTTAATTTGGTAAACTAACTGCATATATGAGTAGAGTTATACTCTTCACACAGTAGTCTGTGAAGAGTAATATAGGTTTACTTTCGAGAAAATCCAAATTAAAAAATGTCCATCCTTCCTTCGTTATCACGTTTTTTATGTGGGGTAACGTGGGGTTGAAATATTAAAAAAAATCCAAACTCAAAATCGAAAAACGATATCAATTTGAAATGTTCAGAAAAATCAAGCTCTTTAAGAGGCCGAAGCCTATGAAGGTTGATATTAAAAAAAAACAAACGGCAAACGTAAAGTGTTATCAACCATATATATGCAAATGCAACCAGTATATCGCCAATCATAATCCACTTTGATCACAAAAAGGCACCTCGTTGCGCACTACTGAGCATGCTACGTCATTTAAGAGGGCCGGATTTAATTTTAATATTGAAATTATTTTTTGGTTAAATAATTTGGAGTTTTGATTTTCACGAATATATGTTCAGCATTGGTCTCACAGATAATTTTAATCATTAAAATACAAATGTAGGTATATAAAACAAATTAATAGTTATACCACCTAGTTTAATAATCGCCTTTTAATATAATAAGTTCGTTACAAATTCTTCAGCAACCAAATTTTAATATTTGATTTCAAAGTTTCAATTTGCTTACAGCATTATAACAAAATAATAAAAAAAAATACCAATACAACAATGTAAGTATAGTAAGTGGCCAATTAGTTGGTTTAACATAAAATGCGTACATACAAAAACCAAATGGGTTGTTTTTATATAGCTAAACATGCCTTTTTTAATATGCGCATGACTTGCTAATAATTGTTTTTGTTTCATGACACTATTCAATTATTATTAATTGATTTCAAATAAAATACGTACATGGACAAGCAAATATAATAGTTATTTCTCAGTGTAGTTACGCCATTTATCTTACACCCATCTTGTACCTATTACATACATACAAGACTTTAAGTTACATTGAAAATTCTAATTCTACAATAAATGTTTGTTATTAACTTAATTATTTTCATTCTATGTCTCTTTTCTCCTACAGAATAACTGAATAAATGGTCGTCATATTCATTCAAATCATTATTTTCAAATAGAAAAATACTAAGGTGTTTGGTATAAATTTAAATAAAATTTGCTTATGGAGGAATCATGTTATTAGTAAGGGGACAAGGTCTGACATATTTTTTCTCGGTGAAAATGCATGTCTTTATTATATTTTTTGATGATGCAATCAAATCTCCACGACTTCTTGTATTGAAGAGTGCACGGTTGTCTCTCTCAGTACTATGAGAACAAACTAATAGGTCCATACAATTTAAACATTTAACTTTTTTTTACAGTTTTGGCAACGAAACTAGATATGCAGGCCACCACATTTTCCAAAATAAATGATAATGTCGAAAGAATTTTTTCTATTCCTTTAAAATCATCATCAACAAATATGGAGTTGATGTCCATATCATATTTTTTATCAATTCAATTGTCGTCAACAATTATTATTATTATTATTATTATTATTATTATTCTCTTATTTGGAGAAGGTTGACAAAATGTGTCGCGATTATTCGCTCCTTTTGTAGACAAATAAATAATATTTACTATCTCATGGCTACAACCTCCCCAAAATGCAATTCCATATATCTTAAATGGGACTCAACTAGAGTTCTGACATCAAAACATCCAGAAGAACGTTTTTTGTTAGAAATTTTATATGGTTCTTACATTTCTAATAATTATTGTCTGAACTAATGCCTATAAATTTTATTGTATGTCCATTCAATGTTATAATAACTTTCTATAGATGTTATTTCTGTGCCATAAAATCGTAGTGCCATCAGCAATTTGAGTGAAAGTATTTACAATGTTGAGTTGTCATTTATATAAAAAAGGAATAGAATGTGATCAACTTAGAACCCTGAGGGACTCCTCCTTCAAAGACCATTGGCTTACGTTTTGAAAGATAAGATTTTATCAGCGCTTCGTCTTCAATTCTGTAAACTAGTGATTGAAGCCTACTGATTCTGAAAAAAATCTCAACTTCAAATCTTTAGGAAAATCAAGCTTTATAAGGAGATGAAGCCTATTGATTCTGAAAGAAATTTGATTAAAAATATGGGTTAAGGGGATCTGTTGAATAGTGAATAGTATAATATAGAATACCAAGCATTATTATCTTTATATTTTATATTATATATATATATATATATATATATATATATATATCAACTTTAAATTTGCATGGTTTAAAGCTTCTAAATTTCGTAAGTTAATATATCTGGTGCATTAAAAAAAAACATTTCATACTCTTATAAAACCAAAGTTTATAAAAAACATATCCTGACCTTTATAAAAATAGTACATAAAACATGAAATAGAAACTGATCAGGTCGGAAGCCAACAATAAATCAAAATACCCTTTAAAAAACAAACTTTTTTCACGCTTTCTTAAACTATTTAATGTTTTTCTATTTATTTTCAGGTAGTTACTTCTGCTTTACAAGTTTAGGTACAATAGGCTTTGGCAATCTAGTCCCAGGCCAAAAAACTGAAGAAATATCACTATGCGCGTGCTCAGCCTACATTTTGACAGGCATGGCATTGGTGGCCATGTGTTTCAGTTTAGTACAAGACGAAGTACTTAGCTTGTTCAGGTTTGTAAATTCATTTTTTGATAGTTCCATATTCATATACAGGGTGTTTCAAAAAGGTATGTCATAAATTCTTCCTCAGATAGATTACCAAAAAATATGTGGATTGGGCTATATTTCCCTATATCAAAAACTTGCTCCTAACAAAGTTACAGGGCGTTAAACTAACATTCAACAAAATGTTTTTTTTTCTTTGAATTTTTTGACAGTGCTTGAAGATTTGAAGGCCTAATATTCTAAGGAGAAAAAAAAATTTAAAAAAGTTGGGGGGTTGGGTACCTTTTAACCCCCCCCCCCCCGTATTTTTTTTTTACATAAAGAAACTTGCTTTATCGATCTAAAAATCAAAAAGAACTATTAATTTTTAAATTTTTTTTTTTTTTGCGAAATGAATTTTGTTTCTTAGTTAACGAGCTATTTACAATTTTTTAACTGAATTTCAAAAAAAAAATCGCAACAGCAAACTTTTTACAAAAAAAAAAATGTTAGTTTAACGCCCTGTAACTTTGTTGGGAGCCAGTTTTTGATATAGGTAGATATAGCCAAATCTACTTATTTTTTCGTAATCTATGTGAGGACGAATTTATGACATAACTTTTTGAAACACCCTGTATAAAATTTTTTAAATAGACCTGTAAAATAATTCACGCATTTATAAATAAAATTAAACAGTTGAAAATGTATTTAGACATTTGTAAATTCCTATTTAGAATCCTAAACAAATTATTTATATTTACTTCCAATTTATTCTGTTAACTTTGTTACAAAGGTCACTCTATAAGTTTTGAAATATACCGTTTTTTACTTATTTATAATTTTAAAAACATCTTCATTACATCTTCACCGTTTATTTGGTTGAATTTTTTACTTATTTCTTTGGTGAACCGATATTATTACAAACTCATTTAATCTAAGATATTATACAATCTGTTGGCTGTCAACAGACTGTGCTATAGCTTTCAACTTCCATACCATTCGATAAGTAGGTAACACATATTTTGAGCTGACCAATATTAAAAATATGAAATTTATTATCAAGGTACCTCGGTGCAACTTGCTCGAAAAACGATTTGAAACTGAAAGAAGAAGAGGGTTCCTGACAACGACCCACCACAGAGGGCGCTGCTCCTGTTAAAAGTATTCCCATAAGGAAAGCGCCCACTCCTTTGCATCACAATAGCCTGCCAAGAAAAGGTAATTTTCAAAGAAACACTCCCGGCAGGAGGTCAACTGGAATGGGTAAGATATTGTTATATTTAACTATTGCATTTTGATCGAATTGTTAGTTGTATGAAGAAAATGAAAGAAGTACATTAATGTGCAATATCTTTTTAATAAAATTAGGCGAGCGGGTTCGGATTTACAAAGCCATCATCATAGCATTTTTTTTTTTCTAAATTTGGATATATGCAAATCAATTATTATTACAAGGAGTTTGGCTACTTAGTTTTTGAAATTTTTTTAATGAAACACCTAATATATTTAATTGAAGCTGATGTTCTTATTCAAGGAGCAGAACCTTTAGTAGAGTACTTCGTTCCTAGAAGTGTGAGCGAGTTTGACCTATCCGTGGCTTCGGGGGACACGCCTATAGGAAGCAATTTTCTTCCTCTTACTGTACGAATACCACGCAAAATGTTCCCTAAGCAAAAAGAAAAAGTCGTTACTTTCGAAGACGAAATGGCCTCACGATTAGCAAAAAACAACCCAGATCTTCAAGACGTGTTCATGTGACATAAGGGATAACAATTAGAGTCGGGTAAGTTTTAATTATGCCAATCATGGAAAAATATAACGACTAATTTGTTGTATCAGCTTCTCAGGTTTAAGTGAGACTCATGCTTTATGGAATTTATTTTAATTGTTCTTTAAAATATAATGATTCTATACATATCCACTATAACCTAGAAATATATTTTTTCTATCCTCCTTCCGCAATATCTTTTTGGTGTCCTATTTAATTGCAACATGACTTGATTATTTATAAATCTTTGTAAACGTTTTGATTATTAGTTTGCTATTACTTTGCTAAATCTATCTTTAACTTCTTTGTTAGTTCATTACTTTTAGTTTCATCTGCATTCTTGCCTTTCTGAACATTGTCATCAATGAGTTTTTTTGGTACCTCGTCAAACTGTTTAGAAATGGTATTCTTTTCTTTTTTAGATATTAAGCTTTGTTGACCCGTGGTCACCCATTCAAGTACTAACCGCAGTCGGTACGGCTTGAATACAAACTGGAACCAGATAGGATTAATCGTTACCTTACCAGTTTTGAACAATTGCACTGCATTTTCTGGTTCACCTAAGAGGACATCCGGTCTATAACTGTTTTTCTTCTTTTGGTCTTTTGATTCTCTTTTCACAAATGTGTCAGTTTTTTACCATTATTTTTAAACGTTACTTGGATCATCAACCTTCTCCAATTATTCGTTACATTGCTATAATAAGTTAGATGCTTTAGTAATTTAATATTTCATATATGAATTTGCTTTTTCTCAACTACTCTACTAATAGTTTTCATTTTATACTTTATCTTTTATATTCCAATTAGTTTGTTCACGTAATGTAACACGAAACATGTCAAATAGCAGAAATATGTGCTCTACGAATTGTGACATTGTCTTTAACATTTCTTTGTTGTTTAAAACATGCGTGGGCGACTTTCAAAGCAATAAAAGGCGAACGACGCAGCGACGTAAAATGCTCCACTATACAGGGTTGGGATAAAGTATGGAACCAAGTAAATATCTTTAAAACGAAAAGGACGATATATATGAAACTTTGCAGGTAAGTACAATGACCCTCAACTTTTTAATTTAAAGAGGACACCCTGTATATTTAGCAGATTTTAAAAGATCTTGTTATTCCGAAATTGTACTTACTAAGTTTAGTAAAACTTATTCGTAAAAAAGAGAAATAAATCACTTTACCTTTAAAGAATAGGTAAATTTATTTACTTTCGTCTAATGAGAATAATACTTTAAACAAAATCACTTCTAATGTTCAGAATGCTCGCCGTTCACCTCCTGACAATATGCAAGTCTATTAATAATTTCGTGAGTCACTCTTTCCAAGACTTCTCCACGTATTAGTTCATATTCATCAATAATTCTTTGTCCTAAATCCTGCAAGCATGTTGGCCGTCTAACGTAAACACGTGATTTTAGATAACCCCATAGAAAAACTCTAACAGGTTGAGGTCCGGAGAACGAGCTGGCCACTCTATGAATCCTCTATGTCCAATCCATCGATTTGTAAAATTCGCATCTAAAAAATCCCTAACCCGTCGATCATAGTGGGGAGGCGCTCCATCTTGTTAAAAACAAAAATTTTGTGGTAACTGCCCATTCTGTTGAAGTGCAGGAATAATTTGATTATTCAGTAAATCTAAATAATTGTTACCATTCAAGTTTCTGTCTATAAAAAATGGGCCTATAAGCCTATTTTCGACAATTCCCAGTTTTTGACAAATTTTTGACCATCCCAGTTGCATTAAAACATTGCAATGTTTTAGTAACCGTTGAACGTGATATGTGATTTCTTTCAGGATGCAAATCGTTAAAAATATGACAAACTTCTTCATGAGTTCTAACACGATCACCATAACCGATCATCATTAATATTTCAATACGATCTTTTTCACTTAAAAGAACCATTCTTAATCGTACAATTTATTTCTGTCAATTAGTTTGGCAACAGTTGCCTACTAGATAGTACTCGTTTATTTCTTACTACATTGTATTAATACAAAGAATTAACTAAAAACACGTGTTTACGTTTTTATTCTCATTAGTCTAAAAGAAAAAATTACTTTAACAAATAATCTCCACTAAACTTAGTATGTACGAATTCGGAATAACAAGATCTTTCAAAATCTGCAAAAATATACAGGGTGTCCCCTTTAAATAAAAAAAGTTGAGAGTATTTCCGGTGAAATTGGGAGTACAGTAGTAACAAAAAATATGGCATCAGATGCGTTATGCGTCATTGTACTTGCCTACAAAGATTCATTAATATCGTCCTTCTCGTTTTAAAGATAATTACTTGGTTCCATACTTTATCCCAACCCTGTATGTTCACAGTCTAGCGAGTTTGTCTTTCATAATTTCCATTTTATAACAATCAACACGAAAAATTCTGATTTATCTTATTTTAATTATTATTGTGGTTTTCAGGGAGTGGGGGTAAATCGACGCCTGACATAGGAGGTGAATACATAACCAAGCTCAGCGATCTAGCGAGTAAATCTAGCGAATTAAGCGAGTTAAGTGCGGCTATAAGCGAGTTCAACAGCGCTAAAAAGGACATTAAGCAGTTCAAGAACTTTAAAATTTGTGAGGATCTGAAAAAGTGCGAGGACGGGTGTTCTTGTAACACGGAAGCGGACTGTGACATTTGTAAGGTTCTGGATTTTACTATGAAAAAAGACAAGTTATAGTCTTGGACTACAGAATGATTTTTTTAAATGACGATTTTTTTCTAATGTAGCATATAGTGTTTATTAACAAATATGATTGGAACATATGCGAGGATTTTGCACAATGGTCAAAATTTGGTTTTAGGATAAAATAATTGGACATACTATAAATAAAAATAATTTTTGGTTTCAAAAGAAACTATCATTTGGATTTTTGTTCATTGTTATCCCTTAATCAATGACGCTCCTGTATAAATCGATATTTCGACAGTTTCAACTTTAAATTTAATATTATAACAATAAAATATTAATAAAGCATATTTAACTTTGCTCAAATTGTTATTTTCATAATTATTGTACCTTTATTAAATAAATAAGTTAATCTTGATATAAAAATTTCTGAACAAGAATTGTGTAAACAGCTATGTCCAAAATCATAATTGCAACAATCGCTAATATGTCCTAAGTCAGGTACGTATATAGACTTTAAAATGTTGTCTCTTGTTATGACACATCCTTCTGTCATAAAAAAGAGACAAGATAGAGATTATATGTAGCTTTACTGGTGAATAATTTTAAAATATAATTATTTCACACAGTCTATCTTGTGCAACCTGCAAAGCAAGATACTAGCGATTGTTAGATGTACTAGTTGTGTACTATGCTCAAAATAGCATAATTATACTTTTATTTTATTTGTTTTCTCTAAAGTAATACGTTATTAAAACAAGGTAGTTGGAATTGTATTTATTAAATTTGCCATCTTATATCCGCTACATACATTAGTTAATAAATATCACTTCCACCCAATCAATTTTCTACATGTAAAACACTATCAGGTCCAAATTAATAAACCGCACTTGGCTAAGACTTACTACGTAATTGAACGAAAATCGAAGTTCGGGTTTACCAAAACACCTTGTGTAATTAGAATATAGAGATGGACTGTATATTTACTCATTTGTTACCGGCCACCTCTAAATTTCAGTATGACGCGGGAAGGTGGAATCTGAGACTCTATAGAGCTGTTATAGCAGGACATTGATTTTCATTTAAGGACACACTCGGCCAAGACGAACTTGCCCAAGTTTGATTTATTAATACCGACCTAAGGCAGTCGATGTACTTTTCTCCATGTATCGGCGAGTAGAAGTACCGTTCATAGTTCATCCACTAGATGGGGGCAGTGAGGTGGTGGTGTATGCACATGGACGAAGTATTATTAGGAGTTGCCCTGTCTTTGTAGAAACCACTCAGCATGCGTTTTTAAGCGAATTATCAGATCAGCTAAATGAGGAATGTGGAAAAAATTCATTTAGCTATATAAACGTGTTTTTTTATTTGGTGTTAATTTTTACCTGTAAGCATTTAGAACGGTCCAAAAATATGAGGTAAATGCTGTATACACAACTTTTAGTATATTCTACGAATGCCCCGTTAAAGCACGTGCTCAGTATATACTTTTTAGAATATACTTTTAAACCACGTATTCGGTATATACTTTCTAGTATATACTTTCAAAGTATATTTCGATGCATGTTTTAAGAACATTCTAAAGAGCATATACCAAAAAGTACTTAAATAGAAGGTTCTTAGTTTATTCATAGGACATTGATGTAATGTTGGATGTAATGGGAATAAGTATGTAATAGAATCCAAAATAATTGAATAGTCTTGGGAATGTACTACTGAGGATTCCAAAGAATGTAAATAAATAAGAAATTACTGCTTATAGACCACCCATCAAATCCTCCAAAATTTATTTCTAAGATAATATCTCCTTTGATATTAGAGCTTGAATCTTATTTAAATTATCATTTCATCGCAATACCAACTACCTGAGTTTCAATATAATGATTGGATTGTATAAAATTAAAGACCGTTATCTTTGTTGTTAAATTTATAATACATTGTATAATAAACAAATATTTGTAACATTTAACACAAAATGATGAATATTGACTGTCCAAAAATAGAAAAATTAATATAGGGAATTAGATAAATATATCGACAACACAAAAGTATACTACTTCTTCTCTTTCATATTGTAAAATATCAAATTCGATTTATATTATTAAGTATGTATATAAATTGTATATAATAATTTCAGGATTGAAAACTTATTTGTAATAAATAAATAAATAAATAAATAGTTACATACACGATGGTATTTAGTGTTTTATTTCACACGTTTGGCCATAGTGGGAGACACACTGAGAAGCGCGCAGTTGCCTGCCGTCGCTACGCTGGAATCAGCAAAAAAAAAAATTAGGTATAATCTCATGCAAATTTCAACACGGGTTTAAATTTTACTTCAAAATTTGTTCAATAATAAATAATAAACAACGAATTTCAAAATTACAAATTTATAGGTTAATAAATAATAAACAAATTTTACGCAATAGATAGTTATCCCAAGTATCACACAAAGTTATAAAATGTTGGTATAATTGATTAAAACTTTACAAAACAAACGTAAACGACACGTTAAATAACTTAAATTTTTAAAACTGATATACACAACTTTTTAATAGTGTAGAAACTAATAGTACGACGTTTTTGTTAGAAGTTGTTGAGTAATATTTAACTAGAGTTGTAGCAACGTTAATTTATAAGAAACGTATAACTAAATTAAGTTGTTTTAAAATGTACAATTATGTAGTTGTTATAATGTTTCTATAACTTTTAAATTACAACTACTTTTAATACATACATATTCACTTAATAATACAGTTGTAATACCGTTGTAAACTGTAGTTACTATTAGGTTTATCCGGAAAATTATTATATGGTTAATAAAACTAATACAAACTGTTTCAATGGTTTTTTTGTTTTAAATTATATAATACCCCAAGTAGCATTTTTCGTGGGCGGAACGTGCCTACCACGACTTTAGAAACTTGAAAGTGTATTGCCAAAGTTTCTGCCACGTAATAGACACGGTTCTACCACGTGGCGGTAACCAAAATGGGGAACACTTTCTTGGTGGCAACCACGTTCCAGCCACGTTTCCGGAACTTATATAATCACGTTTACGCCACGTGGCGATAACGTGGCCGACACTAAACGCTGAACTTTGCTTACTGCCCTTGTCTTTTGATTGATATTTGTAGCTCGGTCTTGGTCCTGCAAATTATTTCTCCCATTCTCCCAAGAAGATTATGGGAAAAATTTGTATACTATATATTCTCAGGGAAATTGCGCTCTGATGATATGGCAACACTGTATTAGTTGTATTATTCCATATAACCACAAAATTTACAGTAGTAGATTTCGCGTTGTTCCTGACATGTGGGAAAACGAAGGAACCTTATTTTGGCCAGGTCATTTAAATTTTTCACAACGAGAAACGTAAATAAGTTCCCCCGAGGTGAGTTGGTCGCAGATGGAGTGCATTTTTCTTTATTGTAAAGGCGAACAATGTAGTAGAAAGCAGGTCATTAATAGGCAACGGTTACTTCATTGTGAATTTTGAAGGTAATAGTAACTTTTAAGTGGCTTTTGTTCCACGCAATATGTAGAAATCAAGAGCATGGCAAAAACGTAGCAAAAACTACTGCAGTTATACAATCAAGTGCCGCCCACTTTAAATATATATTTATGGTTACTGAAACGTTACAAAAACTATCAAACCCACTTTAAGATTACTGTCACTTCTAGGTGGTATTTAAGTGATATGATTTGGTGGTCGTAACTACTATTTTCCACATTCAAGTTTAAAGTGGTCCCACTTAGTGGCTATAACGTTTCAAACACCTTCAGAGGCAACTAAATAATATAAAACTTTAAAGTGATTTCCAGTGGTGAAATACACGTGGCTACAACTAGAAAAATATAAAATGAAGTTTTTCTCACTATATAGGGGTACATTTAGTGATTATAACGTAAAAGTCACTTAATCGAAGTGGCGATATAAGTTTCTGTCACTATAATGCTATTGTTACTGTTACTATAGAAGTTGTACAGTGGTTAAATATGTATATTATTTTATTCCTAGAATTTTTTTTTCTGAGGTTAGGAATAACTGCTTTATAAATTTTAGAAGAGAATTATCATATATCCGAAAAAGAGGTGTCTCTTATAGATGTAAAAAAACTGAACGCATCAAAGTACTTCAAGAAATAAAAAATTTTGAGAAAATTTCAAACAGATCCGCAGTACCTACCTACCTACCTACCTACCTACCTACCTATACAATAAAACCATCCGTTGTTTTTAACAGTAATATTCGGAATTGTGCTTCTTGCAATAATTTCTAAGATAGTTATAAAAAGAAACAACTAATAAAGACCAAGAAATATTGCAACATGGTTATTTGTCCACGTTTGAGTTTCTTAAACTCCATGTTTTGACAATTATAAAAATGTCATGGGCTTTAAATATGCGTATTTAATATTCAATATTCAATATTCAGTGCTCGTAAGAGATTATAGGCATTTTTCCGTGCTTTGGATGATTTAAGAATAATTTTAAATAGTGATTCAACCAAATATTAATCGTGTGTCATGCTTTTTAACAAAAAAGATTTAAGTATTTAAAATCAGTCCGTAAATTTTATCAAAAAAAAAAAATTGGTGCACAGACCGATGGGACAGGTTACTTGGAGTACATTTACCCATAACGTTTGAAGCAGACTCTATAATGTTCCATTTCTTATCATTTTTGAGATATTTGCCTTTCAAGTTTTTCATTGAAAAAAAAAATAGAAGATTTCACAGGGTGATTCAAAATTATTTTCATTATTTTTTAGCCAAAAAGCTATATTTATCTATAAATCTAGAATCCATCAAAATTAATATAATAAAATTAACGAATAAGCAAAAATAGGTGAGAGTGCAAAATTAAAAATATTACATGTTGATGTTTGTACAGTAACCAATTTAAAATGTTGGAAATATCAAGTAAATTTCATGGTGTTTTTTTAATGAAATAGTTTTAATAAAACAACAACAGTAAATGAAATACAGATTAGAAATATAAAAAATAATTGAATAATTATAGTATACGGAACATTTTTATGGCACTTGCATACAGCTCCGACGTTGTTAAGTTCATTAATGTAAACACATTTTCTAATTCATATGGATCTATTGTCAAATTGTAGGCTTCAAAAAAATGCTAAAAAATATGTAAAATTATTTATGACAATTTGTGAAAAAATTAGTCGCTCGAACATGTCTAAACAAACTTTTTAAAAGTTAAAAAAAAGATTGGCCGAATTTTTTTACAAACGAATGCAAAAAGAAAAACAACAAATTGATATTAACTTTCATATGTATTAACGGTTCTCTGATGTTAATATTAGAATTTTCATTTAGACAAAATCGTTAAAGATAATAATTATTGATTGTACCAAAGAATAAATTTAAAATCCAAATTTTTAAAAAATTTGTTTTATATTTTTCGTTTAATTTTTAATTCCATAAATATATTAGTCTTAAACCCCCATTTTTTACTCAAATATTTATAGTTTCATAAAATATCACACATTTAATATTTTCCGACTAGAAGGACCATGATTGGTTTGCAAAAGTAAATTTTGTAGGTATACCGCAAGACGGTTTTCATGAATCTGTTTTCAAAGATGATTTAGTAAGTAATACTGTCACATGTTGATAATCAATCTCTTTATTTCTCATTTGCATCTAAATTTATAATATCACAGGTTAAACAATATAAAATAACAATTAGCAATATTTAACTTTTAAATATATATTGGAAAAATATTATTCCAATTTAAATCTATAGTTCAATGTTTCCATTTTTTATTAAATAATATTTAATAAATAAATTATAAAATTATTAGGGCATAAACTAGTCTATAAGATAGGAAAATAGAATGAATTTAGTTTCTTTCTATAGAAAATAGAAAGAAACTAAATATGGAACTTTTTCATTATTTGAATTCAACAAAATATAATAACGGTCATGTCTGGATTGCAAAAGCCGAGCCTAACTAACTTCCTTTATTTGAAGATTTTTTCAGGGTCGACTACTTTTCACTACTTATCCCGACATATCCAAAATGTACTTTTCCGGAAAAAATCCATCACCAGATAAAATAGTCTAACATATAGTGCATATTTCTTTATTATTGCAATTTGCGTCGAGGGTAAAAGAAAAATTGTATGGATTTAAAAAAGGCACATTTTAGATATAGCGGGTGTTACGCTTTTTTAAATACTCATGTATAATTTAAAATTACCTGGCTGTCATCAAATTCGCAAAATTTGAAACTTTCGTTATCAGTCAAATCTAGAATACATGTGTACGAATTGTTTCTTGAATCTTGACATTTGCACCATTGATCTACGCTACATTGCTAAAAAAATAATGCTATTGGAATAAATAATATAAAGATGTACATTAGTAAATATATGTAAATTTAGTCAATAGTACCAAAATTATTTCTGATTCACTAGACCATTCACCGCTGGATTCTAGTTAACGGTGAAATTCCTAATGAGTATTAGAGTACTAGTAATATCCTACACAGAACACAAAGGTAATGGTCTAAATTGTCAAAGCCGAAGACACTAATTAAAAAAAAACTTCGAAGAAAGATGACTTAACTTTGATAAAGACTATAGCCTTTCAGGTACGCCCAATTCATTATCTTCTATGTACCTTGTTAGGTTGTTTCCTTAACGTTCGCGTACACTGCTGCCATAAAATCCGATTCAGATGTTTCAATTATGGTTCATTCTGACATTTTTTAACCAAAAAGGTCTGTTACCTAACGATACTTCTTCGTCCTTTTATTTTTTATTTTGCAGGATCGCTTGTTTCTCAAAATATATCCAATATAGGTATAGTTTGGACTCTGTGTCTATTGTTTTAAGTCTCCTTTGAAAGAAGTAATACCTTCAGATGCACGTTGATGTTGCGCTTGCTAGCTATGCTATATTATAAAAAAAGATAATACTGGAAAAACAAGCACCAATACAACCGGAAGCCATCTGGTATGTAAACAGCTCAAACACAGAAAGAGATTATAGCTCGTTTATAGGGATTAACACAGGATCTTAAATTAATAATTTACCAAATATAATTTTTTAAGTTAAACGGTTGCAAAGATATTAAATTTTTTCGAAATGTATGGCCCCACTTT